TTTCACTGGAATCACAACAGGTTTATGTTTCTGTTTACTTTTTGTCTAAGTCCTTTGGAAACCCTTTAGCTGATTTATACCTGGACATAGTCTTTACTCAAAATCTACATTAATAATATTGGTAGAGTCCTTCTGATTTTCAAGTTTATTTTTCTTGAGAGTTTTAGTTGACTGTTCTTTCCATCTGAAGTAGTCTTCCAGGAGGTGGATATGATTGGTTTCTTTTTGCCTTTATGTTTAAGACCAAATTATAGCTTCTCCAATACATTTTCCTGTTGTCTGTACTCTGAAACCTATAGCAGAATTCCTTACCACTCTTTCTCCTTTATTTCCTTTGGAATATTCTATTTTCTTACTTATTTTATCTAAAATTTTCATTCTTTTCTTCACTAGCATATAGGAGAGTTTGTCTTAGTGATACTTGTGTCCTCACATATAAAATATCGTCAAACTAGCACTTTATTGTTAGTGGTTGAATGCATAGGTTGAATTTGTTGAATATACAGGTTAAGTACATAGAAATAAATGTACAGGGGCAATGGGAAATGTACTGTGTGCTGGTCAAGGTTCTAAAGAGAGGAATAGAGTTCAGAAAGCTGTGTATTTGCTACCCCCACCAGGCTGCCAAAAGTTGGAGAACAGAAATTAATGATGTGGATTCACCTCTGTATGCTGTGAATATTTTTTATTACCATTGGTTAATACAGAAGCTGCTTTGGCTTATGACAAAGCAGAATACAGGTAGGCAGGAAAACTAAACTAAATGTAAGGAAAAATAAGTTTGAGTTAGACAGACATCATTTAGCTGCCAAAGGAGAAAGACACCAGAACCTTACCGATAAGCCATAGTCTCATAACAATACATAGATTAATAGAAATGGGTTAATTTAAGATATAAGAGTTAGCTAGGCCAAACAGTGTTTTAATTTCTGTGTGCTTCTTTGGGATTGAATGGCTGTGGAACCAGGCAGGACAGGAACTTCCATCTACAAATTAAGGACAGGACTCTAACAGAGGCATAGGGAATAATTTGGCTGTCAGAGAACAATTAACTCTGACTTCACATGTTGGCCGGGAGAGGGTTCAGAGAAATCATCACAAAGAAGGTGACAACTAAATTGGAGCTTGGGTTATTCAAACAATTTTGCCAAAAGAGGAAAAACCCTGCCAGGAACAAAAGCCAGAGCAAATGTTCAGAAGCAAATATACATTTAGTGTATTTTTGAGTAATGGTTTGGTTAAAAAGTGTTCCCTCTTTCCTGCTTAATACTTTCTAATGGAAGCCAAATTTTTACTTCATCAACTAAGCCCTAGCTGTAAATCTTATTTAGTAATATGTGGAAGTTTCATGGCTATAAAATTATGTCTAATAGTTATGAATATTTGGAAATATTTAAGCCTCTAAGGTATTTTCTTCTTAATTCCTGGACTTATGGTGAACAATTTTGCTATTTCCTTAAGTCAGTATAATAGAAAGTCATTTGAGAGCCATTGCCATTGATAGTAATGCCTGTCATCACACAACCTCTGCTTTACTGGTGAATTTTCATAGTCTACTGGAGGAGGTGTATAGTGATGTTTTATGGGAAACTGATCAAACTGGATTTGTGAGCCCAGTTCTAACTAATACATCTACATTACAAAGTTCAAGGACCACTAAACATGACTTTATAAACACCCAGATACCAATAGATATTCTAACATGGAAGGTAAAAGCTCAGGAGGCCTCAACCCTAGACATAGAACTACAGGCAGCCATAGAATTCTAAAAACAGAAGAGAGCACCAATTAGTCATATAATACCAAATGGTCACCTCTGAAAACATGTCATAGAAGTAACATTATATGGACAAAAAATATAATTTATTTTATAGCATATTCTGTGACTTTTGTAAAACATTTGTAAAGTTTTGTGAAATTTGGCAGAAAAATGAACCTGGTTATAGTTTTTATGTGTCACCATATTTATTTTACTGACTGTCCAACAAACATTTGATACCTAAAAGTCTTCCCTTTGATAGAGAATACCTCGCTGCTTCAATTCTATGGCACTATCTTTGGTCAAGAACATACTTAACTTTTGGCTAACACTTGAATGAAGAAAGAGAGTACATAAATAATGAACATTTAGATGACACAGAAACAGAAGGAGAACTCATTAGAGATATGTTGGAATCTGGACTGAAAATATTCTCAGTAGGCTGAGAGCATGAGCCAGAAAAAGCCAAGGAGGAATTCAAGAACTATAACATAAAGTTCCATATTTTCGTTCAAAACAAATTAACCTCACACGTGCAGGATTAGCAGCAACCCACGTGAAAAGGTTTGACAGTTAGAGTTGATTACAAGGTCAGTATGCACTTGCAGAATGACTTAGCTGATAAAATATGAAGAGAAACTTTTGGCAGCTTCAAAAGAAATCAAGAGTCAAAGGCACTGGGCCAGTAAGGCAGTTTAGTGGGTAAAAGCAATTTTCTGCCAGTTGTCCTTTGAAGGACACACATGTATCTACCTTGGTACATGAATATTTCGCCCTCATTGCTAAGAAATTTAGAGATGGTTCAATTTTGTTCTATTCTGTTTTGTTCACCCAGAGCATGTCCACTTTTGATGGTGAAATTTATTGTTTTATTATTAAGTAATATGGCATATCATGTAAGATTGAAAATGCAGTATCAAAATTATCACTAAGTTGCACCCTCAAAGGTATCCATGCATAATATGAGCAAACTGACATATCAGTAAATAAAATTCAATAGAAAATAGACAATGCCTCTGGAAGATAGCAATAAAAATTAATGTGAATATTTTTGCTTAATATTGATGAGTTTCAATTAAATCAGATCAATTGAATTTCATTTTGAAGGCAAAGGAGCATTGTTGGGAATAACTGAATTGGGAATGATGAAAACAATGCTGTGTTTTAAGAAAGATGAGAAAAAGAAATAATACTTAGTCATTTACAGATTATCCACATGACCTGAGCCTGGTGGAAGAGCCATCACTACAGCTACTTGGGAACCTGAGGTAGGAGAAGGCCCAAAAATGTGAGCCTACTGCCACCTTGACCAAAGGTCAGAGAGTTGGAACTTATTTCTCTTCCTTCAAGGTTATTGCCTGTTTCTACCTCAAACAAAGGTCCCACCTAGAGTTAGAACAAAGAGTTCTCCTCTCTCAAGGTTATTGTCAATAGGTGTGGTTAATATCCAGACCTTGTATTTCAGGAATAGAGAAGTAAATCTGTTTCTAAACGCTAAGCAAAAGTCTAAGGATTCAACTAAGTTCCTACTCCCTTAAGGAGATAACGTTGTGTACCACCCAGGGAGTAGTTTGCCTACAGAATGTTTTGTTTTAGGGTGTGAGTGTGACTTGTTATTTTTTAGCAACAGACTGTTTAACTATGAATATAGCCGGCAACCTTCAATTGGTCTGTTGATTTCCTTGTATCATGTTAATGTAGCTTTTACCTTACTCCTACCTTTTGAGTTCATGGTATTTTAAGCAATTGGAAATTATATGCAGAGATTTCAGTATTCACTGGAACTCCCTCCCAGTACTACCCTATGTTTTCTGTTTTATTATTTTCACTGGTGCCTTTGTCCTCTTTATTAATTTTCTGAATCCCATACTCCTACCCTGGTAAGTAGTATTTTTGTTGAAGCTAGTCTCCAACACCCAGATACCTGAGAGCCTGAGGTAGGAGGATTGCACGTAAAAGGCCTGTTGGGGCTACAGATCAAGGGCAACCTAAAAAGCTTATTTATATTCTGGTTCAAAAGAAGAAGAAGAAAAACTGACTAGTTTATATGAGCCTCAAACACAGTGTTTCATGCTTCAAGGCATAATTACTGGGGTTGGAAGAAAATGATCAATTATAAGGGGACAGATGATTTAACATAATGAAGGAACCTGTGTCTGTCATGTTGTCTCATTACAGGATACTATTTAGATACTATGCTGCCCAACGTTTCACCTGGAAGAGTTCCAATTGGAGCAGGAAGGTCCTGCTCAGGCATGTGTGAAGTGAAGCAGGAGCTGACTTCCAAGTTTCCTGTCCTTCCTGACACTTAAAACTTTGTTTAAATTTAAATTTAATTAACAAGATAAATATACTTAAGGGTATTTCAGGACTTTGTGGTTGTCTTTTCTGATGCCTGGAAAATGGAACTATGGATACTTACTATTAAAGTAATGGTAAGTAGTATTTATGCTTTTATTACAATGTTTCAGTTCAATTTAAAATTATTCATCACATGTTTTGAGTGAGCTGATCAATAGCAGGAATTGGTTTCTAGTGTGCCAATCAGGGATCTTTTCAAATATAAATTTAAGATCTGAAATGTAAAGCTTGTGTGATTGAAAATTATTAGCCATAGGTCTATACATATTGGAGTTATGAATATAATCAAGAAATATTTGGCTCTTAATGTCCTTTTACATTAAACATAATAAGAGAACTCTGTGATAGTAATTTAGTCTTTTAGTCAATGAATTCAATTTCAAAGACAGTGATGGAAAGAGTCATAAATATACATTATTGTTCAGGTTTTTTAAAAAACATTTTTAACAAGCTGGCAAGCACAGTTTCAAGTTTTAGTTAACATTATCTTTATTCACAATATCATCCAGAGATAGTAGTAGAGTATAAACAACAAAAACCTCCATCCTCCTATTTTGTACTAGAGAAAGTGAAAATCAATTACTGAGCTGTCATAAGCAAGGAACCATCCAGGAAATGAGTGAGAAAGGGGCCATGGCAGAAACTTGTAATGATAAATGATCCTGCAGCCAGTGCACACAACTAAATCAGCAGTGGCCTGATTAATGGCTCTTTCATACATCCCCATAGTACTGCAGGTTAAAAAAGAAAACCGCAGCTCTTCAGTATGGAATGTGTTTAATATGGCCTGGGGAACAGTGAGAGGAACACCTGCAGCAAGTTACTTATTAGAAAAAATGTTGACAAAACTTGGGGTACTATTTGTTTAGAGAAAGCTTACCTTCAGGGCTTTGTGCTTGGTTGTGGATCTCTGCATCTGGTTCTGCCAGTTGCTGGATGAAGACTCAATGATGATAGAGTGGGTAGTCACCAATCTGATTTCAGGGGAAGGGCAGTTCAAACTCCCTTTCCACTATTGCTAGGAGTCTTGGTGGGGGCCATTGTGAATTTTTTGGGAATTCCCTTAGCATAGGTTTCTCCCTAACCGCACAGGGGCTCTCTCTATAAAGATGTCTATTTCATTTCTCTCCTATTTTGTTCCTCTCCCGCCTCAATCATCCTGTTCTTTTGTGTTCTCATCTTCTATTCCCCTCTCTCCTTCCCAGTATCCTCAGGAGGTCTCATCTAATTCCCCTTCTATTGGCCATCAATGTGACCCTATAAGGGTCTTCCTTTTTCCCTAGCCTCTCTGGAGCCGTGGATTGTAGTCTAATTATCCTTTGCTTTACATCTAGTATTAATTTGAGTGAGCACATACCATCTAAGAGAGGGAGGAGAAAATATACGAGTAAGGGAAGTAAAGATCATGACTGAGAAATCTAGAGGTAGCTGAACTAAGCTCCGGGAAACTCAGGAACTCTAGACCAACCGCTATGGAGCCTCCTATGGGCCTGAACTAGGCCCTCCATATGTGGGAAACATTGGTGAATCCTGGACTATCTGTGAGGCACCTGGCAGTAGGACAAGGATCTGTTCTGGCGCATAAGCTAACTTACTGGAGCCTATTCCCTGTGGTGGGATGCCATGCTCAGCCTTAATGAAGGAGGAGAGGCTTGGTCCTGCCCCAACTGAATGTGCCAGACTTTGATGACATCCCATGGGAGAGCTTACCCATCAAGAGGATTGGATGGGAGTGGAGTGGGGGGCAAAAGAGGAGTGGTGGGGGGAGAATTGTGGATGGAATGTAAAATAAAAGATTAAAAAAAAATCAATACAGGAAAAAGCTTACGCTGATCATAAAAACAAAACAAAACAGCAACAACCTCCTAAACAAAAACAAAAAACCTTCTACTTCTGTATTATTATTATTTTTAGTTACCAGTTTAGAGTGCAAAGTAGAAAATAAAAAGTAATCGCGTTTCCCCCATAACCCTGTTGACATGAGTTCTGATCCCCAGAACCCATGAAAAACTCTGAGCTGGAGCTCCAGTGTCTGTAATTCCAGAGACCCCGACACAAGAGTCCCCAGTGCTCTTGGGCTAGCTAACTTGTCTTAGATAGCTGCAAAGAGCCTTATCTTAACCAAGATAAAACCAACCCAGACCCTGACCTCCACATACGCGCCATAATATGCATCTCTTTCTCTCACACACAGAATATTATTTTAGGTAAAATTTGAGTCATCTTCCAGAATTGTATAATACCAATTTCAATAGATCTGACTATACATAATGCTTTTCACAAGGCTGGGAGCTAAATGGGTGGGCCTTGTACATTTCTTTACACTGTCTCTTTTCTTACCTGTGATGGCCAGAATCTAAGTATTTTTATTTCTGATACTCCAGGCTTTCTTACTGTTCTCCTGTGAACCCTAAGACCGTTGGAAAGCACAGATATTTACATTATAGCCCATAACTGTAGCAAAATTGCAGTTATGAAGTATCAATGAAAATAATTATGTGGTTGGGTTCATGACAACACAAGAAACTGTTTTAGGGGGGTCACAGCATTAGGAAGGCTGAGAACAGCTACTCTGACACTCTCATGGGAAACCTCTCTGCTGGTAACTGGTTTTCAAATGGCGTGCCTGTTCTATTTCCTCCATTTCCCTTCTCCAGGGAGCTCCTGATATCAACAGTTTTTTGGTTTTTTTTTTTTTTTTTGGTCTTTTGTTTTGTTTTGTTTTGTTTTTGGCTTGTGGGCTTTTTCTTTTCTTTTAAAGGCTAATGAAATTGCCCTTGATCTTACTACAATTAAGCCTGGTCTTAGGTCATCTTAATAAAAAGACTAAGAACCCTAGGCAGGAACCCTAGTTTTCTCACTATCATCTTCTAGCGCAGGTGAAAACCTCAAAATTCTAGTAACAATACGATCAAATAGGCCCCTTTGGTGAGATATGCATAATGGTTTTTCAAGAGAATAAGCAAAGAATAAATGTTTTATCACCATGTGCTGAGTGCATGTACGCGACGTGACTGACTATGATTGTTAACCTTGGTTGGATATAAGGTAGAATTGGTCAATGTTTTCTACTATATAGCTGCTTTTTGGTTTGCATTTTTATCACTGAAGAAAGTCATTGAGCTCAGCCCAGATGTAAATAATTGAGCCTTGGGCTTTGTTTTCCAGAACACTCGAAATTGATTCCCCAGTTCCGGGGCAAGCCACAGCAGCACAGCAATAGCATTCTAACACAAAGGGAAGGCCGAGTCAGCCAGCCCGTGCTGTCATATTTTGGGTGCTCTCCCAGCTCCCACCCTCACGGATACTAGGAACAGCTGTGACCCCAAGATTCAAGGTCCCCAGAAACATGAAATTGCTAAGTGAGCCCTTAAAACAGAATGGATACATTAATCCTGCATTTCATTCATTATTGACTCGTGTTTATTTTTCTTTTCACTTAGTTTGCTAAAATATTCTACAATCTTAATTTTTGACAATTTTCTATCTTTTTACTCCACTGGAAAGAAAGAAATTTTTGTTTTTGTTTTTTTTTTTTCAAGACAGGGTTTCTCTGTGTAACACAGCCATGGCTGTCCTGGAACTTTCCCTGTAGACCAGGTTGGCTTTGAACTCACTTAGATTCACCTGCCTCTGCCTCCCAAGTGCTGGGATTAAAGGTGTGTGCCACCACTGCCCAAAACAAAGTTCTAAGTGCCTTCTTAAATGTTGTATCGTAAATTTACAGAAAATCTAGTCATATAAATTTCAAGCAGCATTGTGACCTGCTTCTGGAGATGGCCTCCTATCTCATGTGCTACGGCCGAAATACAAACTTCTCTAACAACAACTCTTCCCATGGAGACAATGTCACTAATTCATTTTGTGCACTCTTTAGTTAATACAATGCAAGGAAAAAGAAAAAAAACTTCAAAAATTGACAAATTTCCATTTTTCTTTCAGACGTATATGCTGGATCCATGCTGTTCCTACTCTGTGAATTAAATACCAAAACCAATATAGACATGTCCCTGAGAGAAGTTGGCAGCTGCCAACTGTCCACATGGTGTAATCGACATGGTGTCACCAGAAATAATTTGTTTGCATTTATTATATAGTTACAATCATAAGTAGTTCATTTGTAAAGTCTCTATTATAATGTCCTCTATATTATAAAGACAGGATGACAAAATAAACACTATATAATCCCTTTCACATTTAGCTTATTTATAATACTTTAGCTTAGAGGGACTATACTATGTACTTAGGATTTGATTTCATTATTAACTGACTTTTCATATCCCTTGCTAGTTTCTAATTGTTACTCTTTCCCCTTATTTGTAAGGGGTTTTTAGTCTATTCAGATTACAAACCCTTTTCCTATTATAGATTTAAGATGCTTTCTGATATTATCCCTTTTATTTATGACATTTTGCCATTCATAGAATTTTAATATTATATAATCACAGCTACCAGTATTTTTATAGGATTTATACTTTCCTATTCTTTTACTAGTATCACAAAAATTGTCTACAAATATTACAGTTTAATGCCATAAAAATATAATACCTTTTCTTATATAAAAATAAACAAAAATTAAAGGGGAAAGGAATTTCCCTTATGAAACTTTTTCTAATTTTCTTTAGTGAATTATTCTGAATAATCAGGTTAAGTTATAAATTACTGCTTCGGACTTATTGAAATGATATAAATTAAGTTTCAAGTAAATTATTTATGAAACTGTAAATGAGAGGTAATTTCTACAATACCCATCTCAGAACCAAAAACTTTTTCTTCAGAGATTTCATAAAGTTACTGACTGCTTCATAGCTAAGAATAAGATTTAGCCCACAACCAAATAACCTCATGTTAATTTCCTGCACAATAATGTGTCCTAGGTTTTTGTTTGTTGTCAAACAATGTATTTTTGATGAGAAACTCCCTTAAAGTGCATACTCTTTATCAGTATTTCATTCTTTTGAAGCACTTTATTTTATTTTACAGTTGTGTAATGGGGTATGTGTGTGTGTGTTGAGGTAAGTACACATGAGGTGTCCAGAGACACCAGAAGGTATCACATTCCCAGATCTGGAGCAAAGGGCAGTTGTGAACCACCTATTCTGAGTTCAGAAGTCCGATCCTGGCTCTGTCCCAAGGGCATAAGCAATCTTAAGTGCTGAGCCATCTATCCAGACTTTTTTTTTTTCTCACAAGTTTCACGTTCGGACACATTAAAATAATAATTTGAAAATAGTTTTGCTTATATTTTATAGCTTCTAGCCCCACAAAATAGAAATCTGCTTAGAAAGGGGCACGGGGGTTCTACGGGCCTTCGGGTGGGCAGAACACACCTGGATTGAAAGGAGAACCTGGTGGGGAGAGATGAAGGCAGCCAGAACTTCTGAGACTCAAGATACAGTGTTTGTGAGGTGTCCAGCGGTTCAAGACAAAAGAGAGGAAACCTCTGAAGGGTGTGTGTAGGGACCATGCAGGGGTCCCTACAGAACAGACAGGTGAGGCAACTGTAGGAAAAGCCAGAGTTTTAAACAAGAAGCAGATTCACACTTGAATAAATTGAAAACCTGTGCCTTTTAAATAATGGAGATTTGCTTCAAAGCGCAGACATAGCCTTCCCCTCTCTATATGCAGTAAATTCATATCAGAGCCCTCAGAGTCTGACCGTTAAAATTTACCAAAAGCAACAACATCGATACCAGTATTAGTCGTGGTTCTTTATTGAGAGAAGGTTGTGGGCCAAGGCTGTGCTTCTTCCTCACTCTGGATACCCAGAACTTGCTGTTATCCCCGCTGAGCTGAGAGGGAAAGGAGAAGTCAGGTGACTTGTCCCACTTCCAGATCCCTGATGAGCACGTCTTCTGGGAAGATTGTAGAGTCTGCGCTGTCTGCTATTCCCCACATCCTGCCACTCCCTGAGA